GTGCTTTTGGTAGTGCAGTCAACGGGCATCCCATCCGTTTCGCAGGGCAGAGCAACATCACTAAAACCTAGCTGGCTGCAGCTTCCAGAAGATGTTTGTACATCTTTTTCTTTCAAGATGCACCTGATCTTTTTTGACCCAAGACTGCTGCCGGGGTGGCGCCTCCAGTTTAAGATTTCTGCGCCCTTTTATCCCGATTCTGGTGCAGCAAAATGCATTCTTCCCGACATGGCCTTCAAAAGCAGAGACCTTCAAAGTCATCAGAATCAGAAGCGGTTGGCTGCCTGTACCTGGTACTTGCAGTGTAGAAGTAGGTGTACTTATTATACTCACAACTACCCAACGCTACAATGTGTCCCAGGGACGTAGGTTGTGGATATTTTGTTTGGCACACTTCGAAGCAAGGCATCCAGTGGATTACTTCCTCGAGCAATGCCGCCTGCCCAGCGATCCGCCCCGCGAACATGCAATCTCTGAGTTGCCAAGCTTTCGGAAAAAACAGGCTGAATTGCTTGCGAAACAGCCCGTAGTGCAAACACGCACGCTTGGCAATTTGAAGCCTTTATTTGCAACATGTTGCCACAGTAGCAACGGAAGTGACGTACTTTCTCACGTCAGCAGCGTGCAAGTGCTTTGAAGACCTTTCCGGGAGTCTTTGAGGCATTGCTGATTGGGCAGGTGCCTCGGAGTCCTGAGGCTGATAGGTATACGATTCCCTGAAGAATCAACTGATTCACGAAGGGTATGCCACGTGACACGTTTTCAGCCTCAGTGCCTGTCATTATGACATGTTGTGACTATCATGAGGGTCGTCAGGGCTTTACTAATCGGACCACGCAATCTCTGCATTTGTGCTATGTCCAAACTTGGGCATGCATAGAACATGCTTCGTTTGGATGTTGGTGCAGCGGCATCCGTTCCGATCTGTTTGAGGTGATGGCGTTTCAAGTGCGTAGCCCATGGAACGTCGTGAGCTAGAACATCATGTAAGCCATCAGCCCAGCGCGCAGGCTCCCAACCGTTCATACCACCACCGCAAAACTCGCCAGTTTCCATTTCGTTTTCCATACCGTGCTATTTTTGTGATTGTGGGAGTTTTGACGTTAAGCAAGGACCACTACCAGAAAATGTTCAAAGAGCAGGGCTGCGATCATGAGCCCGCGCCTCAGGAAAACATGAACCTCAGCGCCTGTACTGTGGGCGCGCATGGGTTGTCATGACTGTTATGATTATTGCCATTGAGGTGAATTGTGCTATTGCTTATATAGAAAGTCGGGTGAGCCATGAAGAGGTCCTCGTGCCCCAAACAAGCCACCCTCTTGTTTTCTGATGAGAGCTGCAAGTGTGGTGGCTTCAGATTTTGAGACAGCAGCAGTCTAGTTCACAGGTTTGCTTTGTCATGCTTAGTCCAAGGTACGTGAAATACCCCTACACCAGGGACATGATCGAGGCTAGACATTGACCTTGGCTGTCATGCCTTTGAAATCCGAATTCGTTCTATTGGTATATTATATACAGGAAAGGTGGGGTTAGGGGTTTGCAGCCGCAGTGGTGGTAACAGTAACGACAGAAGCAGTAGCAGGAGCTGGCCGAAGTCTACGCGTAGCTGCAGTAGCGTCGTGGCAATCCCAGTAGCCTCGTTCACGTGCTGGTGTTGCTGGTCCGGGGGTCGTAGTTATTGTAGTTTCCAGTCACAGTAGCCTGCTCACATGCGGTTGCTGCCTGTACTGCGCCGCAGCTGTGGTGGTGGCAGGTTGTGCTAGTGATGAACAGGAGCTGTCTCTCTGGTAAGAGCGGCCAAGTTCGTATCCAGTTGTTCAGAACAACTGCTTCCTTCGAGGAGAGGAAATCGTGCTCTATGGAGTATGTGCTGAGGAGGGCAGTGTCTTGCGTGGCGCCATAGTTCCCCACGTATTCGGTTTATTGTGATGCTTGCTCACAAACAGCCGATGCTTGGTGAAAATGCAGGGCTACTTCAAAGAGTACACAAAGCTCCTGGGTATCCCTGCGCCATCCTCAGAAACTTGGTGCTGACATCTTGACAGGCCTTGCCATGCACGGTCGGGTAGGGTAGGACCCGAAAGCCAGAGCAGCGAGGTTTCCGTGAACGGGCCGCCAGCTGACGCGCGGTGGCCTCGAGTAGGAACTGATGGTAGCACTTTTTTGTCAGTCCATCCTTGCCGCAAACAACGGAGGGCTGTAATTCCCAAATCAAAGTTACGGACTTCGTATTGCGAACCTTTGCGGAGACTGCTTGTAAAATCGATGTCTTTGAACACTCAAATCCTGGACCTCAGTGGCACTCCTACATCAGGGATGTTGACTGCTTTGTGATATCGATCTCGCAACTGACCATCCGGCGATCTAGCGTTCAAGGATGCATTTTTTAAAGTTGTGTCCTCGGGATTTTCAAAAAGTATTATAGGTACCGTAATCTCAAGGCCAATTCTGAAAAAATGCCAGTTACCAAATACCTACTGAACTGGTTGCTGTGCTGGAGACCACCCATGGCCCATGGTGACTTTACAGGCCGCTGGTCTGGGCACCCAAGTATGTATGGAGTTGTTCCTCTACGTTTTTGCATCAGGCCCTTTAACCCGAATGCCAGTCTGATCTTGACTTCAAGCCATATGAAATCTAGGGGGGGGGTGATGTAAGAAAGGGGGCACGCGTGGCCAACGCTACACGTGCTATGAGGCCTCCGCTTGTTGACTGTACTGTCGAATCAGCCGTCGGAGCTTTGCCCGCCAATGCCTTGGTTAAGCTCAGGGGTTTGTCTGAGGCCTTCGTGTCTGAGTAATTGGTGTCAGGCGTCTAGTCTTCAAAAGAATAGGCATTTGCGGTTTGATCAGGGCTTCTGGCTCAAGCGCAATCTACCAGGCCGACTTCACACAAAGGCTGTCCTAGTTTTTTCTATGCTGCCGAAGTTCGCAACAGGCTTTGCAAAGGGTCAGTGTACTACTCGTAGCAACTTTTTTGGCCGTTTGGAGATCATTTCACTCTTCACATGACGCTCAAATAGTATTCGTATCGTAGTGAGTGACCACGCCCAGGGACATGTCAGCGTCAGGAGGTAGCGGCCTATCCAAGGAGTCACTGTAAGAACCACAGCCTCACAGATAGTCATGTGACATGTGGCGAAAGCTCTTGAGGCCTGGGCGGAAGATGAGACTACGTTGGAGGGCATGTCAAAGCAGCTCCAGCAGGACTGTGCCCACCATGCAGCGCCTTGCCTTTGGGGCTTGTGCAGCGATGAGCGTGAGCACCCTTTAAAAGCCTTAGACCTGTCCCAGTTGCAAGTTCACAACTCTTTGACATCAACAAAGCTCCGCCACTTTGCTCTTCCACTTTGTTTCATGTGCCAGGACCAATCATGGTGGTTACGCACTGAGCTGTCTAGACTCCAGATAGATCGGGCACCTTGCTGGAGATCGTAACCTGCTGAGAGGATCAGAACATTCCTGCTAGGAGCAGCATTTTAGCGCTACACTGATACAACTATAAATCCATGATGACAACTTCCCGAGCAGATGTCTCAACATCAGCGGTTGCCGTAGGATTTGGCAGGCTTGCCTTAGTGCATTCCTTCTGTATAGCAGTATATAAAGGGTATGTGTAACACAGATTCTGCCCACTACAGCTGCAGGTCTCAGCGGGCTACAGGCTCAGAGCTCTTCCTGCGACAGGACGTTGGGGGCCCAGAAGCCCTTTGTCAACTTTGGCGATGTTTCACATCCTGTGACATGTGACGGACCTACTGTTGCTGGCTGGCGCTTTAGGGAAGCCACCTCCTGTTCTTCCAGGACGGCACAGCATGACGAGAAGTCAAGAAAAACGATCGATGGTCAGTTTTCCTGGTTTCCAAACTGGTTTGAGTGCATTCGCGCCTTACCCTGAAACAGCGGCGTGCTGCTGCGGGTTTTGTTCTGCTTGGCACCTGTCTCGTTGACCCCATGAAGCCATCCAAGCCCTTAATTGGTGGGAGCTAGACCAGGCCCTTCTCAGACCACAACAGGTGGAGGATATTCTTCTTTATTTGACTTTGGGCTTGCGGAGGTGCAAGATTCTGGCTACCTGGACCTTAGGGTAATGGCCTAGTAACGACTTGCTTCCCATCGTTGGCCGCGCCCAGCTCGCCTTCGACGGCAACACGCAGCGGCTTGCCCTGAGTGCCTAAGCTTTCAAAAGGTTGCTAGATCCAGTGGATACACATTATGTATGGCCAACCCGTCCTCTGAGCAGCTTCAAGCTAAGAACTTGTATCGTAGGGGTATCTGTCTGCCACGTCAGAATTACAGGCCCTGTCAGAGAAGTCTAGATTAATGAAGTGCAACCCGCCATCAGTGCGAGCATCGAAGATTCGAATATATTCGACCATAGAGATGCGCCTCCTGACCAGCGCAGCGCTTGCAATGCGCACCGTGTCGGAGCAGAGCGCTGGTAAGCAATGTCCTAGTTCTGTGTCAGCGCTGGCATCCTGAGTTAATGATCAGACAGCAGGTTTGCTAAGGGTTTGTCACGCTGCTTCACCGGCGCTGAGTGTTGTTTTCTTCGTTGCGCAGCAGCAGGAGGATCGAAAACAGAGTGTTGGCTGACAATCGGATCCATAGGAAGCATCAATCGCTTGTCTACTACAGAAGGCTTCAAACCTTCAGGCATCGGTGGTCCACATCCTTGAATTGAGACGGGCAAGACAGGTCTCTGTTTCGTTGGAAGAGCCAACAATGGCTAGCCACTTCATAACCAACAGTGCCGGAGTCATAGTATGTTTCGACTGTACGAAAGCTGCGAACTGTTGTCCAGCCATGCTTGCAAACGAAGGGGCATGTCTAAGAGTGAACATGCCCTTGTATAGCATGTGTCGAAGATATCTCTACCAACACGTGCTGCTGTTTGCGGCCTCCTTGAACATTCCGGCAAGGAAGTCTTCTGCAGCATGGACGATGTTTAGATTCTTATGCGCAGCTGTCTCTCATCCGGTATAGGGACTTGCACTTACGATGTCCATGCTACTACGCGCCTTGGGCTGCAAACAGAGACCATGGCCACGCACGTGAACACTTGAAGCGGACAGATTTCTGCCCATAGCACGCGTGGCATTTTGAATGCACGGGGCTATGTGAAGCATGTCATCAAAGGAATTAGGATATGAACGTGCTGGCCGCTCAGGAGATTCCATGTGGCTAGGTTCTTTTGGCAGCTGTCTCAGGAAGTCTTCAGACATGGGTGAGATCTCCTTCATGAAGTCTGGACATACTGCATACATCGCCATTTGAGCAGTAGTCATATCATATTCTGGGCACGTTGCAGTTCCCATCACGAAGGACCAGGATGCTGCCTTGATGACCCACGATTGCCGAGGTGACCACTTCAAGAGAACTCAGCTGGGCGCAGCACCCAGCTAAAACCTGGGATCCGTGTCGGTGCTCTTGTCCATGATGTTCCAACTGGGTGTCCCAGTCAATTTAGCAAGAAACGGTTTTGCCCAGTCAGGTGTGCCGCTTGGACCTAGTATGGCGTTCTAATGCATGTGTGCGATGGCTTGCCCTGAACGTTTTGCCAATCTGCGATCAGGCTCCGCATCTAGATGAGCCCTGCTTTGTTGTCGTCTCCCGTAACCGAGAGCCATTGGTGTTCCAACCTTCCGGCCCCTTATCAACCAAAGCCTGTAGCAAGACTTCACGACCTGCGCTAATCAGAGAGTTTCTGCAGGGTCAGTGCTGCTTCTTGCGCTCTGGCCAACCTTATGTGTGGTCGGGGCCCAAGGTTCGAGGCTTCAGAAGGCAGCTATGCTAAACCGCATTGCATATTTTCATATCCTCAGAAGCTGGCCACCTACTATGGCCAAGAGAGGTCCATCTGCATATCTTCAGCTGAGGGACTTGATGTCTGGGACTACCGTGATGAGCTGGTGCGGTCAAACGCAAACCTCGCAGAGATCAATGCAGACCTGGAGGACACAGACGCCTTGGCTGTGCATGAGTGGACAAGGAAATGGAAACTGCCACGTTGAAGGACTAGCAGTTTCAACTTGATTGGCAATTACTTTCGGGCAATGAGGGTATATTGCCTGCCATTCAACAGTAGGGAAGTACTACATTGACAACAGCCGGATCCGACAGTGGCTCTGTGACGAATATGGAAAATCAAAGGTCGCAACTGAAACGAGCGCAATTGAACAACTACCAAAACATGCTGGCTGCTTAAAGGTTCACTCTTACATGACGCCGGCACCTGCCGCAACGTAACTTCATGGAATCCCATTGAAGGAGATGCAGGAGCACAACATGATCATTCAGAGGGCGCTGCTGCAAGAGGCCCCTTTGAGCCCTCTCCTAGCTTACGCCTCCCTCTGCAGTTGTTTGTGTGGTAGAGGACTGTGGAACTTGATGGTGGGGAACGTGTTGGAGGTTTATTCTGTTTGGCTGTCATTTCCGAGTTTGATTATCGAGCCAAAGGTTATGGACTTGAAGGAAGAAGCATGGGGCCATTGAACAAAACTGGTACAGCTCTCATTAGGTTGCGTGGGCAAGGTGCGCATTTTTTGTCAGAATCTAGACTCCGTGTTCACGAAGTTTCTCGAACATTGCTGCATGCCTGAACCATCCTGAACTAATCCGTTCCCCACATTAATAAAACCCACCCCAAAAATAAACAATAAATCCGAGGCCCTGAAAATTTCCTCATGAGCATTTTAAAAGGGGNNAAAGGAGCCAGACCATAATGAATTAGGGGGGGGTTTTGAGGTCATTAGGGGCGTATAATAGAAAATTTAAAGGAATTAGAGATCCCCTTGACATCCTAGGTTTTGTTATGGGTTTTTATAAAGGATTATATATACAAGAACTGAATGCGATTCTAATCACTTGTGTTACAGTTTTAGCCGTATTTAAGTAAATCTCAATTGAATTTCATTCGATTTCACATGATTTTCAATGGATTTTGATCGATTTCATTTGACTTTAAAAGGATTTTGAATTCGATTTCAATTGATTCTAAGAGGAATGTTAATTAAGATTCTATTGATTCTAACGGGATGTTAATTCGATTTCAATTGATTCTAACGGGATTTTAATTCGATTTCAATTGATTCTGACGGGATTTTTAATTGAATTTCAATTGATTTTAAAAGGGATGTTAATTCGATTTCAATTGATTCTAAGAGGAATGTTAATTAAGATTCTATTGATTCTAACGGGATTTTAATTTCGATTTCAATTGATTTTAACAGGAATTTTAATTCGATTTCAATTGATTCTGACGGGATTTTAATTCGATTTCAATTGATTCTAACGGGGTTTTAATTCGATTTCAATTGATTCTGACGGGATTTTAATTCGATTTCAATTGATTCTAACGGGGTTTTAATTCGATTTGAATTCATGTTAAAAGGAATTTAAAGGCAGCCCTACCAAATTCTTTCAATAAATATGCCCCCCTAATAACAAACAAATTTTGAGCTCCCGGATTATTTCTTTATGAGGGGGGGACGTCGTTTATTATTAGGGGGAAGGGATTAGTCAAGCCAATTGCAGTTATCAAGCATGGAGCCCCAAGCATTCTTGGGAATGGCGTCGTATCCCTTCGAAACTCATCAAACAAATCAAGCCTCACCAGACTTCGGGCCGCCCGATACACGCAATAGCCCATGGAGTGGCGCTACACGTGCCTGGGCTTTTGGGGTTTGGGGGTGGGTTTCGCGCGCCCAGATCTTCCGAACAGCGTTTGTTAGGTAATTCATGATGTTCGAAAGAGTGGGACTTATGTTGGAACCAGTGAGGATGCTATGTGCCGTGAATGAATAACAACTTGCGTGGATAGAAGTTGGCTTGCATTGGTTGTTGTAGGCCCCCATCCATGGTTCCATGTTGTTCCCGGGGCGCATAGACACAGACGACCTCAGTTTCAATAAAGCACTGCAGGGAACTGCAGGCTTTCCAGGGGCTGGGCAAGCAACCGCCCCCGGAGCAGCTTTGCCGAAGAAAGTATGCGAGCGGAAGTAGCTAATACATCTGCCCACTGTTTACCTGTTTCCCGCAACATTGTTTGGATATTCTGCAGCACCCCACCGTGAAGCCCGTCAAGTGGCCTGATTCCTCATGCTCACGAGCTTGCTGCATCGTGTTTGACTGGTAATGAGGGAAGGGATTGCTGTAGTCCCTTTGCTCGCTTCCCCACCAAAATGGCTACGGCTCAAGTAAAGCCAGCTCAAGACTCGCAAAGCAAGCGGCGTCTCCTTTGACTTTGACATTAGCAAAGAAGATGCGCTCCATCGTGGGATATGCACTGATTGCGGCCCTGGGGGCGGCTGCCGCGTCCACGGCATTCTCGCAGATTGCTCGCTCCGCGCGAGGTGGTGAGGTTGACATCCAGGCAAAGCCCCGCGGAATAAGCATGAAGGTGGATGCCCCCACCAAGACCAAGCTGACAACTCCCCAGACTGCAGAGAGTGAGAGCACGTCTGGGGATGCATTGCTGGCAGCTTTGTTTGGTGGTCTTGCAGGCCTCGCAGCGGCTGCAGCTGAAACTGTGCAGAACGTCTTCAAGCAGCCAGAGGAGCCATGGTCTCCTGCGAAGGAGATCGGCGCCACTCAGCCCCTGGAGTTTTTTGACCCGCTGGACCTGGCTGAGGACGAGGAGAAGTTCAGAAAGTTCCGAACTGCCGAGATCAAACACGGTCGTGTAGCAATGATGGCTGCTGCCGGAGCTGTCGTTCAGCACTATGTCAAATTGCCTCTCTTCAAGGATGTGCCCTCTGGAGTGACTGCTCTGATGACTACCAAGGGTCAGCTTGCTTCCATCTTGCTCTTTGCGGCATGCGGTTACATGGAGCTTAAAGTCTGGAAGCAGGATGAGGCCAAGGAGCCCGGCAACTTTGGAGATCCCGCAGGATGGTCCCAGACTGGTCTGAGTGAGGGCGCCTACAGCAAGACCATGCGCGAACGTGAGCTCAATAATGGCCGCTTCGCGATGATTGCATCAATGGGCATCATTGCAGGCGAGTTGGTGTCCGGAAAGGATGCCATCCAGCAACTCACTCTCAGATAAGGTCCGAATGATTCTAATGATCTCAACTATGCCACAGCCGACGCAAGGACGTCGCATGATGCATGTGAGATGGGCCGAAGATGAATCGAAGCTGATTTGTCAAACCGGCCCTGAGTCTTGACTGGCTAGTTGCCTGTGGAAGCCCGAGAATGCGATAGACTCTTATGGAATCCACCCTACAGTTTGGGCTAAGTGGCTACGGGCGCAGAACTGCTAAAGATCTGGCCCCAGGCAGCTTTCTCCAAACGAGTGGCCATGTTGGCTGCTACCCATCGTGTCACTTTACTTTTTAATACCGCATGCAGTACTGGCCATGTAGCCTCCTTATGTTCAGCTTGAATGCTTCTTCGCCATCTGCCTGAGTCAACGCATGCAGTGACACCACTTCCAGCTCTGCTGGCTTTATAACTTCCCACACTGCGCGTTCGCAGACTACGCTGCAAGTGACAGTGTCTGGACAATCAGTCCGGAAAGGGGATGATGCCGTCGTCTTCAAAGCCTTGGTGCTCGGTGGGAGAGCTAAGCTCGCATGTGTAATTAAGCAGGTGCAGAATTCTGTTGAGCCGTTGCTTTGACCATCTGTAATCATGGTTGGAAAAAAGCAGATGAGATTTCAAGCTGCTTTCCCCTAGCACCAGACAGTCAGCCTGTTAAAAAAGCCGCGCCTGCACTAGTGCCGTATCCCGCAATCTAACTTCTTTGGAGCTCGCGATGAGTTCTCTAGGTGGGGAAGCTGAATCGGCGGCCTTTTTGGGCTTTGAAATCAGTGTGAAGGTAGTCCCGCTTTCACAAGGCAAAAGCCGAGAAGAGCGCTGAAGACAAGCTGCTGAAGGCGGCGATGAGGAAGACGGTGATAGCCCAGACTCATGGGATCCTGGCCTTCATGTAACTGTTGAATTTTTGTTAGTTAGAATGCGCGCTCCCATGGTTGTAGCAGTACTTCTAAGACTGATTAGCCTGTCAGCTCTACAGCCTCAAGGCGATGAAGCTACTGGACAAAGATTCCGAGGTCTCCATGGACGGTCGAGGCATTGGCTTCCCTTCTGAGAACTTGGGGTTTGTATGATCGGGGTTGTAATTCATCTGGTTTAACCTTGTATGCTTCAAGGCAGGCGAGGAAATAGGTTGGTGATGTCTTGGGCAGTTGGAGTAGTGTCTGACTAAATCTATGGGAGAGGCAACATGTCTAGCTGGTCGTGAGGTTCGGAATCGTACTTTTTTGTGGCTATATAAAGCCGATAGGGGCCAACCCTCAACTGATGCCGTCCAAACCTCGCTTAACCGATAGGCGCCGACCCTGTTTACGATGGCCGGTGTGACACCACATGGTGCTGGCTCTCCCGGCTTCTCAGGGAGCTTCGAAAACGTCTTTGCCCTCTCCACTTGAACTGGTTGTAATTGGCTGGCCAATTCCAATTCCGAAAACATCACAGCCGGAGGCAGGGAGGCAGGGGAACTGGGAGGCAACGGCCGCCTGGGTCACCACGCACTTCCCTAGCGTCAAAAGCCGGAGGCCACCTCTGTCCACGGCCATGCCTCAGCCATCCCCCGCACAACGGAGGCTCGAAAATTGTGCCCTCAAAGTGAAAGGGCGAAACTCGAATCTGCCGGCACCGGTACGGCTCACATGGAGCTTGAAGGAGCAGCACGCTAACATAACGTTCTTACATCTATCTGAAATAACAAGCAGCCTCATGCAGAAACATGCTCGGTCCGTGCAGCGAATAGCAAGGACATCTTCGCAGCGATTTCCATACTTAGCCCTTTGCAAGCTTTTATGTTGCAGGCTCTTTTCCATTTGATTCTTCATTGTTGGAGGCATATCCCTGTTCAACCTCTTTCTTACCCTGAATGGATTGTCAGCATCAAGCTTTTCATGCAGGCACTCGGCAGTTGTCCGCAAATTCCACCGCAAGTGGAAAGGCCGGGGAGCTAATTCATGCTGGGTACAAGCAGTTGAGGAACTACAAACCTCGGAGTGGATACGTGATTTACGGGAAACAGGACCTAGCTGCTAGAGCCACCTAGCAGGAGGGAGTTCAGGGATAGATAAAAATTATTCATAAATGGTCATAAGTTATATGGACTTTGTAGGAGTTATATAGGGGTAGAAAAGAGGGGTGTAGTATAGACTTTGATTACACCAATAACGCAGAACCAAGCGAAAAAGAAAAAACAACTGGGGAAAATTGGAATGATTGAGGCATTAAAGGTTTAGGGGCCAGCTACTTCCGTATCAAAGAGTCACAGCTTGCCTCTGTCCCGTCAACTAGCCTCATCTAGTACCTGCAATTCCGCATAATTCGGCAAAGGTGAGGTTCAGTTGTTGCTAGTTGGACCACGCGCCTGAATCTTCTGAGTGCAAAGTTCCTGACGCCACATATAGCAACGGCTTCCACTCAAGATCAAAGGGTTGCAGAAATGGAGCCTTGGCCGAGTTAGCTGCCTTGATTTGCATCCTTAAATCTAACCGGGATGCAACAGCCAGAGCGAAGTCCACATGCGCACAAGTGCATTCTCAGAGGTATTTTATGCAAACCCTGAACATGGAGAGTCATAATTCCGCAGTTTCTGCGGAAGAAAGCAGTACAGACTTAAAACCATCGATCCCTTTCTGACTTGTAAACCGTCCTTGCCCAGACAGAATCCAAGGCAGCACAATCACCCACATCGGACAGAATCTAGCGGGCGTACTGTGGGCGTCCTAATTGACAGACTGCTGATTCAAAACTGTGAGTTTTTACTTGCCGGTAGTTGGTAGAAAATTGTCAGGTGGATCCCCTATAATAGTCCCTAATTATGAAATGCTCTGAAATAGTGCTTATAATCATTTCCTTCATTCCCTGCTTGCCACTAGTAAGTTGAACAGGCTTCAGAGCAGTCTGGCGTCACCTGCCATGATGGTCGGCCTTGCAGCGCCTTTGACAGGCTTCCGATAGACTCCTCACAAAACTTGTGCTGTAAAGCCTTTTTCCAGGGTTGTCTAGGAGTTGACACGGGAAAAAGGAACGCTATGAGCCAACAGCTGTGAGGTTTCCGTTGATTTAGCAGAAGGGTGCACTGTGGGGCCTGGAGTCGTGAACATACGTACAAACACGTGTTTTCATAATGTTATGGGCTTCAGTATATAAATCAAGGGATTGCAGTATCTTGTAGATCTGCTGATTTCCAGGCTCCACGCGTAGGCATACACTTCTCATTCCAATTATCGCTATTATTCTAACTATGCTTTATGCTAAATATGTAGTTGTGATAGCTTATTTATTCTAATCCTATCTTCCGAATGTGTCTATAAACTGTTTATAAACAGAGGCGGCCTCAGGGCGCGGTGCGGAGCGAACCTCCATGCTGTTCCCCATTCAGGGTCTGAAAGTTACTTGGAATCTTGAACGCCCGGTAGCATTCCCCATTTGACTTGATATTGTCCCTTCAAAGTAAAAGGCCATTGCATTGGTTGGGGGCTTCCAGGGTTTAGGTTTAGGCTCTCTGGTTCTGGGATGATCTCATCTTGGTTCCTGGACATGTCCTTGTATGTCGTGTCTCTGTATTCTGATCTATAGCTTGATTTCAGACACTTCCGGCTCGGCCTTTCTGGCCCGGAAAAGTGGGGTTAAAGTTTTGCACAGACTGTTGCCGCCTTGTTCTGCAGGTTCATTGAAACCTGCCTCCGCCGCAAGCCCAGGTAATTTCAAAGCTTGCTGCCAGAGCTTGTTTTCAGAATAGCTGGCTGGAGGTATGATTAGTACAGCCAGATTCGTTAATTCCTACTCATGAAGGAATACAGAAGCACATGGGGATTGCCGCAGGCGATTCTTTTGTTGGGGCTTCCAGATGAGCACAGGGTTAGGGTTTGTCTATATAGGGTGTATGTCTGCGGTGATGTGGAATGAAGCCTTGCTCAGGTATTTGCTTGTAAGTCCTGCGCACGGTCCACACATATGTAGGCTGCAGATCGAGAACGTATGTCCCACGCAAGTATCTATGCGCCACGATTGCTTCAGGACACAGAGGCTTTGCCGGCGTCCCAGTGGGAAATGCATGCCAGTCCGCAGGTGCAGAAAACCAGAGTCTCGGCCATTGCTTAAGCCATAATTTGCTTCAGCGCATACAAGGCCAGCATGCAGCCCGTTAATTATACGTGCGCTTCAGCCTTCCCTTCAGCAGTTAATGCACTTGATGAACAGTATGTTTTTGAGACAGACCTCCAGGGAAAGCGCATGCCCCGGCAGACTGCGCATGTGCGTGCATGCCACCTTTCCAGTCCCAGCTGCGCTGCTACTCTTGCTCCAACAAGTCCTGGGTTCTCTGCAGAACGGAACATTCTTTACTTACGACTAGGTTGGGGTTGAAGTTCACGTCTCTGAGGTCATTTCTGGCCTTGCGGCTCTCCTCATGCTGCCGCTCTGCGGTGAGCCGCTCAGTGGGGAGGTTTTTTGAAGCCTAGGCACAGATTCGGGATTCTATAGGGGCAATTTTGATAATCAAGCTAATTTAGCCGTGCACGAGTTGCTTTTCGGGGGACTTTTTTTAGCTGCCTGGTACGTGTGGCTCGGACGTGTGCAGGAGTAGGAGAAAATCTTTGCAATGCTGAACCTGCTGGTGATTTCGGAGTTAAAGCTCGGCAAAGCATCTCATGTCCTGCGTACGCTAACTGCTTATGCGACGTGTTTGTGCTGAACACCCTAGCAGCGTCGCAATGCCACATGCATTTTCAAGCCACATGGACCTAGGCAATACGAACTTGTCTCAACAAATATCATTAAGGTTGCCGCTTGGTGCCAAGGCACACAAGGATCCTCCTCATTAGGAATTCAAAAAGAGTGCTTAAGTAAGAATGGCAGAGAAGAAGAGAAAGAGGGGGCGGCCGGTGTTCCTGTCTTGAATCATTGCAGCATCAGCAACCTCTTGTTTTTCGTTAGCGGCTCGCTGTTTAGCTTCGGAATCAGTTCCAATGAGCTCAAGCGAAGCCAGTGTGATGTCCTTGCGCACTTCAAGTGCCCCCAGCCGAGGCATGTTCATCCAGCACCGCCGATCCAAAGTCTAAGCCTCGGCCGTTGCAGTTGGACGCCTGTTGTGCACCGGCTGAGTGCGGAGCTTAGCCATCTTTCAAGAATGCTTCGAGATTCACCAAGCCAGGATCGAGATGATTCCTTGCGGCGGGCTAAGTATCAACTGCAGTCAGCGGCTGGTGTTTTTTTTTGCTTGGTCCTGGTTATGATGACATGCCTAGGCGTGGGGCAGATGATTTAGATGAGGCCAGAAATCTGGGAAGCTTTGAACACAGCAACGAGTTGGTTGACGCTACACACAGCACTGCTAGCTGAGGAGCCCAGCGTAGCCCATGAATCTTTTTCCGCTCTTTTTTCGCGTAAACAATTAGGTTGGCATGATGAGCATCTCATGAAGTGTAGTCAACCGTGGTGTCCGGCACCCTACCTTACAGGATGCATTTTGCAACTCCCTTCTGAAACTGGCAGGTCTGGTTTCGGAAGCCAGAGCCAGCAGCTTCACCTGGGGGAATGTCACCCTGAAGCTTTCATGGAAGTGCATTTGACCCATCTAGAAGCTAGACAGCAACAAAGGATCTCTGACGGCAAGCCCCTCAGGAACAGACATCAGCGTTTCACAAGTACCTAAAGGCTGGAAGCGGAAAATGAAGTTGCAGGGTTGCAGGTGCAAAGACCTCACGACAGAGACCTCTGCCAGCAAATAATTCCCGTATGTGCAGAAGCTTCGCAAAATGCGAAAGAGATGATCATTATGACAAGGGGCGCATGACAGACCATCACATTGCCTCTTACACACACAGGATCTTGCAGACCTACCGGGCCAGCTTAAACCTTGCAGGCAGCAGCTGCGTGTGCTCATCATCAAAGGGTCAACGTGTAGACCACAGGCCAGGCTTCTACCTAACACCTTGGGCCATGGGGGCCCAGCAAAAACCTCTCAACTCAAGAGTCAATTGCGACCCAGAATTGCTCATCCTATTTGAGGAGCTTTACACAGGACATTCCTCAAATCCAAGGCTGGAGGTACTCTAAGTCAAGGAGACCCTGCATGGAAGCCATGGATCCGCGCGCTGCCCCGTCGAGGTGCACGGCCTAGTAGTTAAGTGAGCATACCAACGTTTGGGGACCTGGATTTTTTGGGGGTTTTCCAATGCCCTAAAAGGGGGTCTGGTGATCCAGCACCTGTAGAGCGGGTTTTGCAGCGATCCTCCCAGGAACTCTCTAGACACCTTCATCGCAGACCAACGCAGAGTCTTTCACACCAAATGGCTACATGGTGACAAGAAACCATGTGTTGGATCCAGACCTTGACACGAGTCATGCGCGTACACTAGCCCTATTTGGATCTCTACTGGGGCAACTAGCTGAAAGAGGGACATGCAGACTTCACCTGTGCAGAAGTCACTGCAAGAGCACGCTATCAGGGACGACACTGCCATGGCGATGGATCGCGCGCTGGATCGAACTGCCGTGGAGGCTGCTGGATGTTGCCCAGTGCACCGTAGCTTTTGCATGAGACTTAAGCACAAGACATCCAACAACCCACTGATCTGCAGTCATGCACGTGTGATGCAGTCCTCCACGGCATGTCATGCCCCGAGCGCTTCCCGCAAAGAACGGTATCCTGCCTGCCCAGAAGGCTCTGTAGAGCCAACAGCTGGAGCGTGACGCTGAGCATTTGTGCTGTGTCGGGTTTCTTTTACAACAGGCCCAGATGGGTGAGTGGGCCACCTATGGCGCACAGCGTGGCGCTCGGGCTTTCTTCGATTGTTTTCCCGCACGAACCTGAATGCATGGCCTCTTTGGAAAGTCACGCCCACTTCGCGTGGCTACTTCTCAGGATTATAGGACTTGGCTGTATTTCCCTGCAAAGTACAGGCCACATCAAATGGCAGTGGACAAGGGCAGACGTGAGGCATCTGTCTCCTGACGTAGGAAGTGCACGCGGGGCCCGTGGTTTTGATCATTAGCTTTGTCTTTGGTGCAAAAGGGGATTCGTCAACATATATATCCTTGTGCAATGTGACCCACAATTGACACATCATCTGGAGAATCCCCCAGCCTGGGAAAGTGACATCAAGAGCCTTGAAATGACGTGATTTCCCGGTTTTATGGCTAGATGATGGGTTGTTCTAAGAGTTCTAGCATTAGCCGATCTGTCAGACCCCTCAACCCCATCCCGAATGAATTTCAGCAGACAATGCAGTGCAATGAGGCTTCGAGCATGGGTGGGCCTGCAGGTGGATGAACCTTGGCTTCCATTCTCATACTGCAGCCCCTCGCGGTAGCATTCCCCTAGCACTTGCTTGGAGACTGGGATCAATCGGGCAGAGTCGCGATATATACCGCGTACTCGAAGCATAGGTGGTTCTGGCATGGCATCGGCTGAGAGAAGGAAAGGTCAAAAGACACCTTTGTCAGACTTGCCTGGGGCCACATATTTTCCAGCAAGTTGTGATCCTGCAGCCGATTTTGCCGATGCACTGTCGGGTGAGGTGATCCCACAAGCTGGTGTTGGTTGAGTCTTTCAGGTCCTGAGCTGGGCTGCTTTGGCCGCCTTCGTTCTTCCAAGCCCCAACTTCTGGCATCAACTGGGCATCATCCCACCAATCCAAGCAACTATCGTCAACGCAGCTGGAATAAGGTGATGCTGACTGGACTTAGAATACAGGACCGCGATATTAAAAGACTGTGTCTGAACACTGCCGTGAAGGCAGCAAATTCTTGCCTCATGTTGCACCTGAGTCTCAGCTGCTGGGGCCAGAAAGAGCAATCTGCACCCAGTCCTGGAAAACCCAAAGCTCCGTGGTTTTGCCCTCACTCAGCAGAAGGCTTGAGATAGCTAAGGAGCAGCTTTCCCGACTGGTGTCGGGGTGCCCAACCATGCTTCACATCGTTGAATGCGCCAAAGGGACAAGCGCGACTAAAGCCGCCCGCCAGATTGATGAGGGAAGAACTCTTGTTTGGACTCCACAGCGAAGGCCTGCAAGTAGTCCAGCAGTTCCCGTCTCTGCTCCATTTCACATGGTAGTTTCCCAAAATGAGGGCACCCCAATACACTATAGTCCTTATCAGAGGAACCCCCGAAAAGGGTTCTTCTGATGTTGGGAACCCCCCACTTGGGTGGGGGGGCAAAAGTCACCTTTCAGGCCGAGTCTTTTGGATGCAGAGTCCTCAGCGTTCAGATTATGAGCCGGGTGGGATTGGGACAATGGAAAAGAAGATGGAAACTAGTGACTATTTAGGGTATAGGGTTTAGGGTTGGGATAACAGAAAAGAAAATGGAAACGACCATAGCATATTGGGGTTATATTGGCACAATGGAAAATCAAGTGGAAGCGACCATAATGGCTTATATAAGGTTTAGGGTCTAGGGTCCCTTTCCGGGAGTACGCAGAACAGGAGCATGACAGTAGTACTTTGGAGGTATACTAGGGAATCTCTTCTGGGAATACCCAGTAATAATGACGCGAATGAGGTAGTTCTCAGGCTTCCACATCACATATGAGAATAACGCATTTTATTGACGGTTCAACGAATCACTTCCCTTAAATTCATAAAATACGGGACTCCAAGGATTGTGCATTCTCAAATCTGCCCCCGAGACTAATTTTAAAAGGGCCAAGACTAAAGCGAACTGCGGCTTGGATCCTCTGAATAAGGGGGTTCCCTAGCACGACTTTTTCAGGATTAGGGTCTCCTTGATTTCCCGGATGCGATTCTTTTTGAATGGCTTTTTACTAAGGGATTTCTAAAATGTGAATATGAGTTTAATTGGTTTATTGCGATCCTAAGTCGTTTTTACATTAGATTTCAATTAGTCTTCAGTTAGTTTCAATCAGATTCTAATTAGACTTCGACAAGATTGTAAATAAATGTTTAATGGGTTTGATTACGATCGGAAATTGATTCAAGCTTTTGGAATTTGATCTTAATTGGTTTTACGATTTTATCACGTTTCTAATGGGCGATCCTATCATTCG